TTCTTTGATTCCATGTTAGTTCCCTGCTGGTCACATTTCTCAGCTTCTTAAGGTACTTTCCACCCGTATATTCTGTGGCACCACACTCTTCTGGGTTTCTTCCTCTTTCTGTGTCTATTTCCCTTCAGTCTCTTCACCAGCTTCCAGCTTTTCTTCCTCCAATGCATCTGAGTGATGTGTCCCTCTAGGCCGTGGTCCTGGGATCTTGTCTGTCTTCTATTTACATCTTCCCTTGAAGTGAACTTATCTTATCCCAGACTTTGAAGTCTGATAACATTCAAATTTATGTATCTCACCATCTCTGGCTTAGGAAATTTAGACTTATAAATCAAAAAACCACCAACCTGCTTCTTAAGTTCTTACCTTTAAGTTATAATGCTTACCTGAGAAGTCTGGATTAATCCTTACACCTCTGCTTGCAACACTTTCTGGTTCTTTACACAACCAGGTTTAAAGTTTCCTTCAAATGTCACTTTTCAAGGAGCTCTCCCTTGACCATCCTGTCCCATGTGAATTTCTGTCTTTTACCTTACTTTTTTGTTGATTTCATACTTTAACACAATACTAAAATATCTTATTTATATCTTTACATGTCTATTGTTTGTCTACTTATGTTAAAATATAAATCTGCAAAGTAAGAAAGCTTATCTGGCTTTGTTTAGTAGTAGATATTCAGAAACAAGAACAGAGTGTAAAGAATAGTAGGTGCTCAAGAAATGATTCTTAATTATATTTGAAGGCAAAAAAATCCGTAATCCTTGAATTTTGGCTCACTATGGTCATCTGTGGCATAAGCCAGTCTTCATAAAAATTCTGATTAGGATACTGAACCCTAGTGATGAAGATAGTCTTATTGTCAAGCAGATCTAAATTTGCCAAGCCCGTAAGTATGAGTCAACATAAGGGGCATAGCAAAAAAAAAAAAAAGGAAGAAAGAAAGGAAGGAAGGAAGGAAGGAAGGAAGGAAGGAAGGAAGGAAGGAAGGAAATGAATGAAAGAAAGAAAGAAAGAAGAAAAATAGAGACAATAACCTGATCTCAAGGGCAGAAGGTGGGACTACAGAAGTAGGTATCACAACTCACTAGGACTTCTCCTATGCTGCTTTCAAGACAGGGTTCTCAGACATTCTATTTTCCTGGAAGATAGAATAAATTGGCAGGAAGTGGGAAAGTATACTGCTCCTTAGAACATATTTAACTGCTGCTGAGATCACCAGAATTAGTTACGCATCACCACATTTTCAGAATGAACGAGTAGTGAGATGGGTCAGTTACTGCCTTTTATACTTTTGAATCCATTCTCCTCTCCTCATGCTCCTTTCCATCAAGGTAAATAGTCTAGAGTTAAGATTCCCGGAGGAAATGACATCTAAACTGTAACCCATGGGATCAATAGAAGCTTCCAGATAAGGCTTGTGGGGTTGATGGGATTTGAAGTAGAAACCTTGAAATAGAGTTTCTGTGATCTACTTAAATAATCTGCAGTAAAGCTTTAGCACTAGAAACTTTTGTAAAAGTCTTGGTCTAAATCTCTGGGCTTTGGAGATTAGCTCTTCACTGACTTCTATAAATCATAAATTGGTTCACTAAAAAAGTTATATGTGGGATAATTTTTGGTATTTTGTCTTTATGGCACTATGTGTAATGAATCATTTTTTCTTCTTTTACATCACTCTGAAAATACATTGAAAGTTACATAAGCAAACCTTTGACTTCCTCTGATTTTTAAAAAGTGGATTAACTTGGTTTCAATTTTCAGTAATCATCTCAGAAAATACCCATATAAACTAATTATGTCAAAGTAGATTTTCTTCCTGGAAAAATCCCTGTGTTTTCTTTTTTTTAAATCGAAATTGGGTACTTAGAGAAACAATATAAAGGAATATGAGAAAATAAGACTTTTTTCCCCAAAATAGAAAAGTATTGCCAATCTTCAAGAAAAATATCTGTTAAGAATGTACTTAGAGAACCAAGATTATATCAAATTATAAACTACTAAAGGCAGCAGAACTACTAGCCAACTCTAGAACTGTGGTGTGAGTTAGGGTTGTCTGATTCTATTTTCCTGATCTTCAAGGTCCTCCTTGTCATTTCCTGATCTCATTTCCAGGTTGTGATGATGTCTGTGCAACTCCCCTGGAAGAAATCAATTGCAAGGCCATGGCTGGTATCTCTTGGTTCTGACCCATGTACCTTTTGTTGATTTTAATTATACTCTTCCCTATAATAATTTATAACTGTAAGCACGGAACTTTCCTGAGTCTGGGTCTCATTATAGTGAATCATTTAATCTGAGGGTGGTCTAAAGAACTCTTGATCCCAGTTAGCCCTCAAAACTGGATTGACTAGAATGACTCTGACTCATGGAAACGTGGCAAAGCATAAGTCAGGAAAGGAAGGTTGGGTGGTGATTATAGGATGGTCTCATGGTGTCCTAATTGTATAGGGTCTATGTCTTCTTGACTGATAATCTTTGGATAACATCAAACAGAATAATTGTTTCAACCAACAGGGAGAGCTGAAGTAAATCTAGCCAGTCTTGGAAATATTAGATTGACTTGATATAAAATACAGAATGCTGAAAGCTCTTAAATTGCTTTTTTTTTTTTTTGACAAATCTGTGTGAGTCATTCTGTGAAACACAGAGAAAAATGTTCTTTGGTACAGTTGTCCAGAAGCTATGACACATGAGATGACAGATCTATATGAGACCACAGATTTGCCTGAGTTACCCTATAAACCATAGAAGGAGAAATTCAATTTTTGACACAGTTTCACAGATAGTGTGAGATGTGAGGTCTTAGAGAAGGATACTGCACTAGAAGAGTACCCTTTCTTCTGCTGTCCTTCAAACCACCTTACAGATACCTTTGCCTGGTGTCTATAATCCAAACTATCTATTACCATTGACCCTTGGAGAGCTAATGGAATTGTCACATTGAAAACCATCATACATGCATCATCCTATTGTTATTATAAGAGATGCTTAATTAGCATATTCTACATCTGAACATGCTCTGAGAGAATGTACAGAAAAACAAGTAAGCACTTCTATCCTCAAATAAACTTTACCCTTTCATTTAGAACAAGTAGTATAACCCAATAAATTGCCCCTGGTACAAGATTATATTTATTACCTGCAAGCTCTGTCTCACTATTTTAACAAGTAGTTTATGACGTTCTTCCAGAATCTGGGTACAACAGGTAACTTGGATCCGGATTTCAAGAAACCTGAAATGTTTGGGCCTTTTTTTTTTTTTTGAGTTGGAATCTCACTCTTCACCCAGTCTGGAATGCAGTGGCCACTCCCGGCCACCGCAGCCTTGACTTTCTGGGCTCTGACCATCCTTCTGCCTCAGCCTTCCAAGTAGCTGGAACTACAGGCGTGCACTACCACGCCCGGCTAATTTTTTTGATTTATTGTAGAGATGAGGTCTCGCTGCCCAGGCGGGTCTCGAAGCCGGGGGCTCAGTCAATCCACTCACCTCAGCCTCCCAAAGCACGGGATTACAGGCTGAGCCACCGAGCCTGGCTATGTTTGGGCCTTTTTAATTACATAGCTTTCTAGCAAATGGCCAGAGTTTCCTTTGAAGAAGAACTAGAGAAATCATTATTATTTATTCTCGTCCTGGAGTTGCGATGACCTTTTTCCTGGAATCCCATTCTCCCTTCCAGCTGATAAATTAGAATCTGAAATTAGCTCAGATTAGGGCTATTGTGAAACACTTTTTGGTACCACCTCTCAACTGCCTAATAAACATCCTCGATTTCATTTGATTGCTTTCTCCTCATCTGATTTGACCTTACGGATGACATAGTCTATTGAGCATCTTCAGTTTTCTCTCTGGTTAGTCCTGTTTGCCACTCATTATTATCACTGAATCTACTGAGATTCTAATGATTAAGGACCACACCAGGCCTTCATCTGTCAGAGTCTGTCATCCCCTGTTATGGGTTTAGATCTGAAAGCACATTGTCCTCTCTGTCTGGGCCTACCACAGAAACCAACACTGAATCTACAAGGATGGCAGCATCCCTCTCCCCAGTGTTTAATCTAATGTTTGCAGTAATTTATGCTTCTAACACCTCAAAACTGTAATTCAGAGATAGAAAGTAATAACTTCACTAGCTGAGACCTCAAAGGTCACAGAAAAGCTCATCCCTTTATTTTGAAACAAATACAGGGAATTTAAAAAAAAAAGGCCAAAAGGAAAACAAGAATCAGATGCAAGTTTTATGCATTTTAATAATCAGATTTTAATTTCAGATCCTTTGTTGGGTTGGTTGATGTAATTCCTAGAAGCAATAACAATTTCATCATCAAATTGTCAATTTCACATTCCTTTTACTATTCTCATTATTAGCATAATACCTTACATTTTCTTACCTATTTCTAAATAGGTAAAATAATTTTTTTGTTTTTTTACAATGTTTAAAAGATAGAGCATGTAACCAAATGTATGCATCCCTTCAATTCCTGATTCCACCTGGTTATCTCCAGAAGGAGTCAAAAATAGCAGATTTTCATAAATCTTTTCAGATATATTTTATGTGTATATTTGCATGCTTTCACACAATAATCGTGTTTTTGCTCGGAGATCAATTTACATGACTTTGCCTTCTCTTCTTTTTTCACTTTATAATGTTTATCGAAGATATTCCATACTAGTACAAGTAGAGTTCTCCTGTCAGTTTTTCTACTGGTTAAATAATATTCCAGTAAATGCACATATTAACATGTATGTTACCAATCTTATGCGGAAGACAATCTAGTACTTTCCAATATTTTGCCATTAAAAGCAATGCCTAAATTGATATCTTAAATATACATAATTTTGCAAACTTATACTTCCTAAAGATGCTTATGGTTTTTCAAAGTGTGCACGCATTTGTTCAGTTTCATGTGGGCCAGGCACTGATACATGCTAGTAATCATTTTTATTGTTTAAATCTTTGGTAAATTAAAATAAGATAACACCAAACATACATCAATGCATATATTCATATTTGTAAATTTCTTAAAAGAGCAGCTAATTCTTTTAAACTATAAACTCCAAACTTTGAAAACATAAAAGCTAAGAGAGCAGGAACAAACACTGAAAGTAACTCCAAGATAAATTTCTCCAAATTATATTTAATTTCAGAAGTATCATTTTTTGTATCCTCAATCTTCTTTTTCCAGTGATTTATTTCTCTATTCATCTCCTTAGATTTCTTCCTAAAACCTTCCTCAAGCAAATCCTTTTGGACCTAAAAGAAAAATTAAGAAAGAAAGTAAATACTTGAACTCATTCTTACAAGTTATATTTTATATTTAAGAATTTTATAAACTGTCTTTCTTTTATACCTAAAAATATTATCTCAATTATCAGAAGACATTTTTGCAGCAAAGAATAAGATCTGGGCTGGACCTAGACATTGTGAGGAAGCACAGTTTACAACTTTACACTATTCTCCCATCATTATGGTTTTGCTAGGATGCTAACCCAGGAATGAGGACAAAAGCTATATGTTCCTGCCCAAAAATTGCCAGCTGGGAGGCAGCCATTTGTCTGATTACATACATTCTCGGTTCCACTTAGTGGAATGGTCAGAGCAAAACAGTGAGGAGAAGCCACTCTAAGCCTGCACTGGGCTCCAGACACTTGCCACTGATTCCCAAGATCCAGAGACTTTGGTAAGTGCTGAAAAGGGAGCTATGGACCACATTGGTGGCAGGAACAGCAGCCAACAGAGAAAATGAGCAGACTCTCTAAAGCCTGGGCTGAGAAGTGCTCCAGGGCAACCTCTCCAGAACAACAGAGCCGCATCTTGGCACTGACCTCTCTTTTGCATGGGGCTGCTCTTTGAGACCTCAAAGAACATTGCCCCCAGTGCACAAAGCCCTGACAGGTAATGGGAGATGCAGAACCCCAGATGATCCATTCTCCAGTCTGAGCCAGCTGCTGGCCAAGAGATACAGACAGCAGAACTGTCCGAGAAGGAGGCTGGTGAGTGCATGATTCCCCTTGCCCCTAGCAATAAATGAAAGAGATTGGAGGGCAGGGCAGAGACAGGAGGCCCCATTCCCCTTCTGTGAACAGTTCAACCCTGGAAACTGTGACAACATTGGGAGAGGAGGTGGATAACATCACAAGAGACACTGAGTAAACTTATTTTAACCCCCCTCCCACAAATAGGTGTCTGATGGCTACCAATTGCAGGAAGTAGGGGGTGAAGATTCTAACACCTTAAGTTCCAACATTGACTAGAGAACATGCAGTAACAGCCCTGCAGTTGCAGAATCTGTCAAAAGAGACATACTAAAGCTGAGGATACTTTACCAACAATTTTGGGGGGAAAGGGTTATCAGTTTGTTTGATTATCTTATTTGCTTGCTTTGTTGGTTGGTTGTTTTTTTCTTTTCTTTCTTCCTTCTACGTTTCTCTCCTTCCTTGTTCTTTCTCTGTTTTTTCTTTCTTCTTTTTCTTTCTCCTTTTTTCCCTTTTTTCTCTCCTTCTTCCCACTTTTTTCCCTCTTATATCCTGTCTTGGACTCAAGGGCAATGCAAGCATACCCACTGTTTGGCTATTGTGCAGAGAGAGAGACCAAGTCCCAGCTGAACCACTCACCAGATAGCAAACATTATGACCTGCCAATAGGTTCTGAATCCTTATGGCCCCTTGCTCATTCCTTAGTCAGTGCTCAAAGATGTAAACAGACAGCATAAATCCCACCTCCAGCTCTCCTTCATAATTGAACATAGAGCCCCAGCTCAAAGAAAGACAAAAGGTAGAGCAAATATCAGAAGTGACTGCGTTTTCATGTTCTACTGAGAAAGACAGTACTTTGGCAAATGAAGAAAACCTAACAATAACCTGCCAGTAACCATCAGAGCCCCAGCAAAGATGAAGTGCTAGAAAGAACAGCTACTGGGGCATAAACAATGGCTATCTCCCAGAATAATAGTACCCAGAAGGTACTTATGGAGATCAGTGAATCATTGGACAGAATGAATAAAAATCAAGGAATGCAAAGGCTAAAACTAAATGAAATTGCAAACAGAGCTGATCAAATGCAAGAAAGCATACTTAGAAATAACTCCATCCAAGAAATAGATGACAAACTGACAAGCATGGGAAGCAGAATTGACCACGGAGAAGAAAGAATCTCAAAGCTGGAAGACCAAAATATGGGATTAACCCATTCTATTTAAAAAAGAAGGGGAAAAACTTAAGAAAAAAGAAGAAACTTTCCAAGAAATATGTAATTTTATCAAGAAACCAAACCTACGTCTGATCGGATACCTGAAATAGAAGAGAAATTGAAAACACCATGGAACAAACATTCCATGAGATCATTCAAGAAAACTTCCCTCATCTGGCCAGAGAGACACTACACAAGCACGAGAGATTCAGAGAACCCCTGCAAGACATCTTATGAAAAGACCAACCCCTAGACACATAATAATTCACCTACACGCAAAGTAGGTATCAGACAAAATGTCCTAAAAGCAGCAAGGAAAAATGTCAGACTACCTACCAGGGCACACCAATCAGAACTGCTGCAGACTTATCTGCAGAAACACTATAGACCAGAAGGATTTGGACACCAATCTTAAAAGTTCTCAAAAATAAACAATTTAGACCAAGAAGTTCCTACCCAGCCAAGTTAAGCTTTGTCAGCAATGGAGAATTAAAATTCTTCCCCAACACTAATCCCTAAGAGAATATTCTGCTTCCCGAACAGCTCTACAGGAGGTATTTAAAAAGGTGCTGTGCACAGAAGAAAAAAGAAACAAAAGGAAGACAATCTTCTTCACAAGATCACAAACACAGAAGCAGCAGAACACACAGAATACTCACAAAAATGAAAACACACACCTATATGAACACAAAAGTTGAACAAAAATGAAACAGCCTAATAAGAGCATTATGACAGGAACAAACTCTCACATTTTAAGAATCAGCCTGAGTATGAATGGACTAAATGCACCACTGAAAAGACAATAGAATGAGAAACTGGATAAAAACACCTAACCCAATAATTTGCTACCTACTGGAAACTCATCTCACTACAGGACGCCTACAGACTCAAAGATAGCAAATGGAAAACAAGCATTCAGGCGAATGAGTCACAAAACTAGGAGTCATGATCTTAATATCAGACAGAGCAAACTTTGAGCTATCAAAAATGTAAAAAGATATGAAAAGACATTACATAATGATTAAAGTTTTTTCAATCAACAAGAAATATCCGTCCTAAACATATATGCACTCAAAACAGGTGCACCAGTTTTTATAAAGCAACCATTAAGTAAACTAAAAGAAATACATTGACTCTATCATTGTTATCATTGTTATAGTTGGGGACTTAAATACCCTACTAACAACCCAAGATAGATTGTCGAGGCAAAAAATCAACAAGGAGATCCAGAATCTCTACTTGATGCTCGACTAAATGGACTTAGTGTAGATACCAACAGAACATTCCACCCAATAACCACAGAATGTACAATCTACTCATCACCACATGGAATGTGCTCCACACACTGGGCCATAAAATCCAGCATAAACAAATTTCACAAGATCAAAATACTGCCATGTACCTTCTCAGATCACAGTGCAATAAAAATTAATATTACCACCAGCAAAATTTCCCCCAAGCCCACAAAGACATGGATTTTAAACAACATGATTGGAACAACTCCTGGGTCAACACAGAAATTAAAAGTTTCTGGAAACAAATGAAAACAAAGAAATATCTTGACAAGACTTCTGAGATGCCATGAAAACAATACTAAGAGAGGGATTTTTATTTCTATGAACGCACATAAAGAAAATAGAAAGAAAACAAGTTAGCAGCCAAACAGGTCGCCAATGGAAGTTGAAAAGACAAGACCACCGAAACCCTAACTTCACCAGAAGTATCCAGATCACCAAAGCAAAAGCCCAAATACCAGACTTAAAAGACAAAACTATCATGGAAAAAAATTCGACAAAACAAAAAGCTGGTTCTTTGAAAGGATAAAAAAGATTGATGGACCCCCTAGCCAGATTGACCAAGAAGAAAAAATAAAAAGAACAAATACAAACACTCAGAGATGCAAAAGATTGAGGCAAAACTGACTCAGAAAAAATACAAAAGAATATCAAATATTACTATGCTCACCTGTATGGAAATAAATTGGGTACCCTAAATGGAATGGAGTACTTTCTGACATCCCACAAACTCCCCAGGTAGAAACAAGAAGAAATTCTGATTCTAAATAGACTAATAGCAATCCAGGATATTGACTCTATCATCAGAAAAGTACCTACAAAAAAAAAAAAAGCCCCAGACAAGACAGACTTCCAGGATAATTCTGCAAAACATACAAGAAGGAGCTGAAATCAAACCTACTGAAAGTATTCCAGGCAATCAAGAAAGATGAACAAATTCTCCCCAAATCGTTTTATGAAGTTAGCATCACACTGATACCCAAACCAGGGAAAGAGACAACAATGAAACAGAACTACAGGAAATTTCCCTGATGAACATAGATGCAAAAATTCTCAACAAGATTTTAGTAAACCGGATCCAAAAACACATCTCAAAAATCTCCACCATGACCAAGCAGACTTCATTCCTAGGATGCAGGGCTGGTTCAACATCTGCAAAGCCATAAATGTAATTAAATTTATCAACAGATGTAAAAACAAGAACCGCATGATTGTATCATTAGATGTGGAAAAAGCTTTTGATAAAATCCAGCAACCCTTTTTGAAAAACCCTTGAACACCTGGGAATAGATAGAACATATCTCAAAATAGTAAAAGCCATCTATGATAAATCCAAAGCCAACATATTATCTAATGGTCAGAAATTAAGCATTGCCCCTGAAAACCGGAGCAAGACAAGGCTGCCTACTCTTACCCCTCGTATTCAACATATTGTTTGAAGTCCTAGCTAGAGCAACCAGACAAGAGAAAGAAATCAGGGGCATCCAAATAGGAAAAGAGGAAGTTATCTGTCTTTGCTGATGATGTGATCTCCCTTGAAAATCCAAGAGAATCTGTCAAAAACCTTCTTGTACTGATAAAGGAATTTGGCAAAGTCTCAGGGTAAAAAGAGAGTCATATTCTCATTGGAATAACTGTTTTTATCAAACTCTGATGACATCTTTTAAAATCTAACTCTATTCATATTCTCCCCAAACTCCTAGGGGCCTAGGGGCCATAGTCAAACCAAACTCTCCAACATCTAAGTTTGGAGCAGAATTCAAAGTCTTCTTTAGACAAATAATAAAAGGATTCAGGTCTTAACTGAATCTCAAGCTGTAAATTGTGATAGTGTTTCATTTCACGTCTTGCTCTTACACTGGCCAGCACTTCCTGAGGTACCAGTGAAAGGCCCAAAATGCCAACAGATGCCATCATCAGAATTACCTTCAGCTTATGCTCCAAAACACTATTCTGCTCCCTCAGTAGTTTTTCTCTTTCCATCTCTAGCTTCTTTTTCAGTTGGGCTATGTTATCCATTAAAATTCTTTCTTGAGCCTTCATCTCTTGCTGCTGCTCCTGTAGCTTCAGTTCTAAAAGTTCCTGGTTCTTCTCAGCTGCTTCCTTCTTGGTCCACTCCTCTGCACCATGAAGGATTTAGAAAGGGAAGAAAATAACAGATGAAGATTAATCTCTCTTTTGAGCTCAGAGACTACAACCAAGTCTTGGAGGATGTGTGGGATATTATAGCTTTCACCCAGGTCCACCTCATCAAGAGCACATTTCGTAACGTGATGGAAAGACCCTGTCTGTCTTGCTGACGCGGAAAAATCACAGCTTTTCCTGATATTTTCACATTGAGCAGAGTGTATGTTTCTCAGAAGGAGAGGAAGCTCCTTGTTTGGAGGAGGTCTTCCTGTTGAAACTGTCAGAGATCATTGTAAGAACCTTCCCAAACCACTGTGAGCAAAGTCCTGCCCCATACCTGCTATGGCCTTCTCCCCATCAGTGAGGGCTTTATCTGACTGCAGGATGAAGTTCTCTGTTGCTGCTTGTGACTGCTGGAAGCTCTGGAACACCTCTTTTGCCTGTGGAAACAAGAAGAAACAAGGAAAATAGGTTTCTTTGTCCATGTGATTTTTGCTTTATGTTTAGAATTCTACAGTGACTCCCTATAAATGTGCAAGCATCTTAATAGGATGAGAGCCCCTCCTCATCTCCTGCTTCTTGTCTCCCTCTTGTCTCTCTCTCCCAGTATTTCTTTCCTTCACTTGTTCTGGGTTCCAGGCAGCTCAAACTATTTGCAGCAGTCGAAAACGCACAATCTCTGAGACTTTTTGTTTGCCTTCCAGGGTGATAGTCTGTTTCTTGCCTATGCTGCTGCCTTCTCCTGCCACTTGTGGGTTGGAATGTTGGGTAGATTCTTTAAATTCAGATCTGTAAAATGTCATAAATAAGAGTAGATGATTTTTTGATCATGAGTTTTTGAAATATCTTTTTAAAATTTTATTTTATTGTCCGGGCACGGTGGCTCAAGGCTGTAATCCCAGAATTCTGGGAGGCCAAAGTGAGGGGATTGCCTGGGTCCATGAGTTAGAGAACACCTTGGGCAATTTGGCAAAACCTCATCTCTACAATAAATTTTAAAAAGTAGACAGGTTTGGTAGTACGGGCCTGTAATTCCGGCTACTTGGAAGGTTGAGGCCAAAGGATCGCTAAGAGCCCAGCAGGTCGACACTGGGGTGGCCATGAGCATGCCACTGCACTCCAACCTGGGCAACTGAGTGAGATTCCAACTCAAAAAAAAAATTATTTTATCATAGATATGTAGGGTAAAAGTCAGGATTAGCTACACAAGTAGGTTGCATGCAGATGATATTTTAAGTCATTTGGAAGTTTAAAGAAAAAGATCTGGGGAAAGAGCTTAACAGGAATCCCATATGCAAAAAGAGTTTGATATAATTGAGTTGTATTATTATTTTTATGTGTATTGCCACCACTTATATAGCCCATCTTCACAAGTTTATAAGTGTTATTACTCTGTGTGTAGTTATCTATTTATTTTATTCTTCCTCATTTTGATCAGCTTTGAAGCAAAGACTCTGACTTATGCTTGGCATGTGAATACTTTTTATTTTGTTTTAACTAAATTTTTTAAAAAGTCATGCTCTTTCTTTAGGAATGAACATTTTTTTCTCAAGAATAAATGGTAAACAGTGAACATTAAAAGCTAAGGCGTCATGCTATCCTTCTGCTCTCTTATTACCCACTACTGGCGCAGAAGACTCCATTCAATCTATTTTATAAACTTCCCCATGCTTCCCTTTTGTCTCACCTTTACTCCTTTCCTGGGCACTTCCCAATAGTCCCGTGCAATCCTCTCCCTTGCTTCCATGTAGAGCTTGTGTCCCCCGGGAACACAGAAAGTTCCTGTTGAAATCTTTTGCATTAGGTCCTTTGAGATCTCGTTGAGCTGATCCTGACAGAATTTAACAGATGACTCTTGATTCTGCCGCAAGAAATCCATCTTCTTACTCGTTATGATTTCCTGCAAGAGAAAAATACAGCAATGTCACTAGAAGACAGTAGCAGAAAAGATAAAATTCCAAGGAATCTGATAGAAGGCTCGATCTACCATAGTCCTCATGAGTAAAGCATTCTTATGGACTAGGAAGTAGAATGAATCCAAATTCACAAAGCTTCATGCATTCACAACCCTGAAAACTCTCTACAAAACTGTGGAAAATATTCTTAACCTTCCTTGGCCTCAAGTTCCTCATCTATGAAATGATGAGATTGCATTCCATAACCTCTATGTTTTCTTGCAGCTGTTGCATTCTGAGGTTCAAAACCACAATGATACAACGAAGAGCAATGTAAGTTGAATAGCGTGCCGAATGAGGGTCTTGTAAGAGAAACATTGGTTCCTGGAAAGGAAGAGAGTGCACAGAAAAAGTGAACAGCTCAGGGATGATTTATAAGCTTCCTGGGTCGGCGTGAAATACCTAGAACTATTCACTTAATGGGGGTATCGATACTGATTTTGGTTTAGTGATCAGAAGCATTTATGAATAACGTGCTAAGATCTGGAGGTTGGCGGGGGGGGGGGGGGGGGGGCGGAAAAGAAGAGAAACAGGCATGTAGTCTTCTGAAACACTATCCCAAATGAGAGTCTAAAATACTTCACCCTTAGTGAGAGGTAAGCCATAGGGGCCATTAAGTAACTCCTAGGCCTTCGTCTGTCAAGGGGAGGGGTCATAAAGAGGCACGACAAAGAAAAATTACCACGAGCTTCCTCTGGAATTCCTGATTTTCATCCTTGAAGGAGCGCTCCATGAAGACTGCAATGGCTTCCTTCTCACAGGCCTCATCCGCGTCCAGCAGCTCCTGGAGCGTGTTTGTGGGGAATGTCACTCGCTGCGCCATCTGCTGGCTGTAGTGGTCGGCGGCCGCCTGCACAGCCGCTGAGCTCTCCAAAAGGGCCAGAGTCGTCACCGCGTTCTCCAAACAAGGTACAGCACCACTGTTGATGGCATCCATGTAGGTCACCACCAGAGACCCTAGCACTAAATAACCAGGAAATTTGGAGGATAAACATAAAATTAGAGCTCAGTAGAGACTAATATTCTGAGACCGCACCTCCAAGGCACATGTGCACAAACATGCATGTGCACACACATACATGCATGGACATATGCACACGTGTGCGCACACCCACATAAACCTGCCATTATCATCATTTTCCTTTTCTCATGGACTCCCCGCTTTTATAGGTCTCCAAGCCATAGTGCTAAAAATTTTAAATATCTACTTTCAATTAACATACTAAGAGAGTATACGGAATATATATTTTTTCATTAAAAAATTAAAAGGAAAATAGATTTGGTGGGTAGAATGATGAGACAAGGTAAATCAAGTTAGACTTTTTTCCTAATTCTGATGCTGCCTATGTATTTTCAGGGACATATGGATGGATGTTTTTTTCTATGCTTCTCTAAACTTACAAAATATTTTTAGTATTCTCCTGCAAAGAATATTGAACATAGAAGACTTCCTCTGAGAAAACAGTATTTTCCTGTTTTTGTACCCATTTAATGAATGGATTATCAACTGAAGTTTTTTCAGATACACAGAACCATAGATATTGGTAACAAAGTTTGCAGTTCTTAAGAGGGACTTATATATAACAATAAGTGAGATAATTTGAAAACATATTCATTTTTTCATGGAGTATGAATGTTTGTGTACACATAGTTCTATATAGAATCTAACAAAAGTGCTGAGAAACCCATTATACAATATATTCAACATACATTTGGTCCCACAGAAATGTGCAGAGGAGACTCACGATTCCCAGTGACAGTGAATCCCCCACTGAGGGTCTTGGTTCTTGCATGAGTAAAAACGTAAAAACAGAAATTATCTGATTGTTCTTTGAATTCAGGATTCAGCTGGCTTTCTGACAACTTCTCAATATTGGCTAAGAGGTTTTTGTCATGTGTGGGTCGGTCAAAGACAAAACACTTCCGTTTAGGAAAGAAATTCCTGATGCACTCCTTGGGCAGATTGGATTTTTGGACATTGGGATTATCATCTGAGGGATAAGAAAAGCAGATAACACAGTGAAAACAGTCTTGGGATAAGGGAGTTAAAGATTGTTTAGCAAGGTGAGTTGTATTTTTATAGTCTTCTATGCTTATAGAATTCCTTAACATAAATATTCAATACTTCTTTGCACATCACCATTGCACCAATGATAGAGCACTGGCAAGAAAGTTGGGAAGACATCTGACCCAAGTGAAAACAAAACCTATGATTGGTATATGTAGACCTGAAAATGGTGCCAAGTATAGAGTAATTGTTTACTAGATGATCAATGAATGAATGGGCTGAATAAATGCAAGGTCAAATGTAAATGTCTGGTCCACTGGATGCCATGTAGAAATTGAACAGTGAGACTAAAAGAAGAGCCACAAATAATAAAGAGATAATAGAGCAATATTAGAAATACCCATGTTGAGACTATAAAAAAGACGTCATAATTATAAAAGAAAACTACATTGATGCTAAAAAAAATTGTTAAGTATTGGCTATTTTTTAAGCTTCCAATATATCTTTTGCATTCTCTGAAGTCTCAACAACCTCTGCAGATTAAATGTGACAAAAATGTAATTTAAGGACAATCACTGTTACTCTATAAACTCTTTGAGGTAATAGAGTATGTATGTTTTGTCAGTGTTTTTCTTCTGCCTGACAGTTTTTCAATACATATTTTGAGAAAGCATAAATAGAAAAATAGAAACAAAAATTAAGTATAACAATAAATACTTCTTATAAGGTATTATTAGATACACACCCATGTAAGGTAAGTAATTAAAATAATTACTTTGAAATTATAGTAACATAAAAATTTCAAATATAATATATTTATAACATATAGTAACATAAAAATTATGTTAGAATTAAGAGAAAGCTATGACAGAAAGAAAATGAATGTTCTGGTAATTATCGGAAATTTTTAAAAGGAATAGATTGACAAGAAGTATGCTTTTTCGGGATTATTTATAATAGAAAGTCATTCTTGTATGATTAAACCATACAGGTGTTAAAAAGTTATATCACTCAATGAGAAAAATGATATCTCTATATTTTTATTGCATATTTTTTATTATTGATTGTGACATATATTTCTTATTAGATAGACTTTTCTTTGCAATTTCATGTCATACAATTGTGTGGTCAATTGGTTAAACACAGAAATACAGAAGGCACAAGAAAGATCTCAAAGATCTGGTGTTTAGGAAGTTTTATCATTCATTGTAATCTGAATGCAGACTAATGTTCAAAGAACAAAGGACTAATGGTCAAAGAACAAAGTTGTTTCTATTAAATTCATTCTACACTAAGTTCTACTCTCTTGAAGTGAACTTAAACTCCAGTTCCTGGAGATTTTCAACCCACCTCCCATTCCTCATTTCTAGTCTCAAATACAGATGAAACTCCAGGAGTGATCCCACCCTGGGCTGAACCACCCCCCACCCAGGCCATGCTCTGATACCTGGAATCAGCTTCAAAGCATTCTCCAAGTATTCATCTTCTGTAATATAGTGACCATTCAACTTCAGCTCCAGGGTGAAATCCCGTACAGTCCAGATAAAATCTGGAAAGAAACTCACAAATTCTGTAGAATCTTCTACTCCTTCAGGTCTTGGGGAGGACTTTGCCTTAATTAATTCAGTGAGCTCTGTCACATAACTACAACTTGGTTAAGGAAAATGAACTGCCTGCCCACAATTCACACATTTCTCTTATGAGAAATATTATGAAAACTCTCTGATTCCCTTCTGCTCCACCAAAGGCAACTAAATGAAAGGAGGAAAAGACTAGCTCTCCATTCCTGTAACCTCAGTGAAACATAGTGATTTGGTTCCTGGAAGGATACTGCAGCTGCTCCAGGGCCTGGTGGTTGATGGTGCCCATGCTGTTGTAGACAAAGGTGCTGCTCAGAAGCACAGCCAGGACAAAGATCCACGAGTCATTCTTAGGGTTACCCTAAAATGCACATTAGAAAAAGCACGTTAGAGTGAAGGACCTAGGAGTGCATTCTTTAGAAATTCACTGATATTTATCTTATCAACCTTTTATTTATGATTTCGGCTAAGGTACTCACTATACATAGAAGTTGGACAAAAATGCAAATAACATATTTGACTGTTACCGTGATATCTCTTATGATCATAAAGCCCTTGCATATAAAAGGATTCTAGTCTTCAAAGGGTTCTATTTTTCCTCAACTGGTTCTCAATTAGGTATTTATGATGGGTGATAGTATTTCCTCATTCAACATGAATTTATTTGCCATGGACATATAAATTAGACCATTGTAAGCATAACCAGGTATTTTAATCACATCCAAATAAATTCAACAAATATTTATGAGAATCTGAACAATGTTTCCCAGTATTCTTTGTTTTAGGAAAGCAATTATTTTTAAGTTGAGATCTCACTCAGTCATCCAGACTGGAGTAGAGTGGCACAATCATGCTCACCACAACCTTCACCTGCTGGGATCAGGTGATCCTTCTGCCTCAGCTTCCTGAGTAGCTGAGACTCCAGGCACATACCACCAAACCGGTTTAATTTTTTTTTCTTTTGTAGATAGGAGGTTTCACTATGTTGTCTAAGCTGGTCTCGTATTCCTGGGCTCAGGCAATCCTCTCAGCCTGCCAAAGTGTTGAAATTACAGGAGTGATCCACCATGCTAGGCCCACAAAAGTAAATTTTAAAATGACAATTGTTTAAAATAGACAATAATCTCAAGATGACTATTTCATAGTAGTGAAAAAGATTCATAGTAATGAATTCAACAAAAATAATAACACTTATAAACTGACTACATCTTATCAATGTATATAAACAGTAGAACTTTTAAATAGTACATGATTGCAATAATATTAAATTAAAATTATGTCTATCAAAGTAGACTTAGAGCAATGAAGTTGGAGAAAGTGTATGTGCTATGAAAGCTTCCTGGAATCATGAACGGAGTTTTAAAGAATTGGCAGAGGCTGGGCTCGGTGGCTCAGCCTATAATCCCAGCACTTTGGGAGACTGAGGTGAGTGGATTGCCTGAGCCCACGGGTTCAAGACCAACCTGGGAAACTCTGCAAGATCTTGTCTCCACAATAAAATAAAAAGTTAGCCAGGCATGGTAGTGTTCGCTTGTACTTCGGGCTACTTGGAAGGCTGAGGCAGAAGGATTGCTGGAGCCTAGCGGCTCGATGCTGGGGTGGCCATGAATGTGCCACTGCACTCCAGCCTGAGCAATGGACTGCGACTCCAACTCAAAAAAAAGAAAAAAAAAGAATTGGCAGAATGTACTTTTGAAGGCATGAAGGAGATTCTGCAGCTAGAAAGACTCACAAAACAAACTCAGAGTGTAGATTTCGGGGATCTTTAAGATGAGAATAGAGTTAATTGGTTTGACTGAGCAGAGAGGAGATGCAGAAAATATGACTGGAAAGGTAGCTCTGGTACAAGGTTGATGAAGGACACTAGCTTCCATGTTAATTTGTTTATGTAAATTATAGAATGTCAAAATTATAGAATAATCCAGAAATTATTTGTACTTTAAACAGTGTGTATAGATGTTACCTTCCGTGACTGTAAACATTGAGATTTAAAAGATTCAGTGTGGGTGGTTTCTTTTGCCTATGCCAGCTCTGGCATGTCTTCCTTTCTTTTTCCCACCTCTTTCTCTAATGAACTTTGTTTTAAAACTTTAAACAAAAAAGGTGCAATATGGTTCTGGAAGGTCCTATATGAGAATTTGGAGGTAGAGGGAATAGCCTGTTCATCCCTTTATTTCCTCCAAACCTTAATTTAAAAAGATAATAATCACTTAGGATTCTTCTTAGATGTAGGACTCGTGAAAAAAAAAACTATTTAGACAGAAGCATATTGCTGTTTGATAGATGGTTTTAAAGTACCTACAAAAATTTCTGTGATATTTTTTAAGAAATATATTTAAACTTCTTTAATTTAATAAAATCACAGCCGGGCTCAGTGGCTCAGCCTGTAATCTCAGCGCTTTGGGAAGCCAAGGTGAGTGGATTGCCTGAGCCCGTGGGTTCGAGCCCCAACTGCGCAACTTGGCAAGACCTCATCTCTACAATAAATTAAAAATTAGCTGGGTGTTGTAGTGTGTGCCTGTAGTTCCAGCTACTTGGAAGGCAGAGGTGGAAGGATAGCCGGAGCCCAGGAGGTCGAGGCTGCAGTGGCCAGAAGCGGCCACTGCACTCCAGTCTGGGTGACAGAGTGAAACTCCAACTCAAATAAATAAATAAAATAAAATAAAATAAAATCACAAAAGAACCTGAACAACCAAAGCTAAGGTAAACAAGAAGAAGAAAACTGGAAGTGTCACACTTCCTGATTTCAAAATATATTTCAAAGCTCCAATAATCAAAATAGTATGGTGCTAACAGAAAAAGAGATTTATAGACCAATAAAACAGAATAAAGAGCTCAGAAATAATTTCATGAATTAACAGTAAACTGATCTTTGACAAGAGTGCCAAGAACATACAATGGAGAAAGCATATTACTTTTAACAAATGGTTCTGGGAAAACTGGATATCCACGTGCACAAGAGCAAAATTTGAACCTTATTATACACCATACACAAAAACCTATTCAGAATTAAAGACTTAAGTGAAAACCAGAAACAGGATTCAGAAATGCCACTACTGTGTATACATTCAAAGCAAATAGAATGAGTATGTCAAAGAGATATCTACACTCCAATGTTTATTGTAGTATTATTCACCATGGCCAAGGCATAGAGTCAACTTAATTTTCCATGAACTTTGAACCACTTTGGATGGACTTAGAGGCTATACACTGAGTGATCTATCGCAAAAACAAATAATCGTGTATCAGATATTATCGCTTGTATGTGGACTTTGAACAACTATGGTAATACTGTTAAAAAGGGATTGGTAGTAGCAGGAAATGCCAGAGGGGGTGGAGGCAGGATTGGTAGTAGTGGGAAACTGCCAGGACGGCAGGGAGGGCACACCTCATCAACCAGAGTACCTGCATAATGAATATTTGGCAGTACATTAATTGGGCATGTTAGTATTATTCTACCTTATTGAAAGTGTATTTTGGGGAAAACAAATTGTGCTTGATTATGTTAGGTAACATTTATTGTGCATTTACTATGTGATAAGCACTGTTCTATAATGGAGACTTCATGCGGGGCTTGGTGGCTCAACCTGTAATCCCAGCACTTTGGGAGACCGAGGTGAGTGGATTGCCTGAGCCCGCAGGTTCAAGACCAGCCCAGGCAACTCTGGGAGTCCTCGTCTCCAAAATAAAATAAAAAATTAGCCGGGCATGGTAGCGTGCACTTGTAGTTCGGGCTACTTGGAAGGCTGAGGCAGAAGTATTGCTGGAGCCCAGGGGGTTGATGCTGTGTTGGCCATGAACATGCCACTGCACTCCAGCCTGGGCAACGGACTGAGACTAAAACTCAAAAAAAAAGGAAAAAAAAAAAAAAGAGAGAATTGTCAGAATGTACATTTGAAGGCATGAAGGTGATTCTGCAGGTAGAAAGACTCGCAAAACAAGATTAGAATGTAGATTTCAGGGATCTTTAAGATGAATAATAGAGTTAATTGGTTTGACTGAGCAGAGAGGAGATGCAGAAAATATGACTGGAAAGGTAGCTCAGGTACAAGGTTGATGAAGGACACTAACTTCCACGTTAATTTGTTTATGCAAATTATAGAATGTCAAAATTATAGAATAATCCAGAAATTATTTGTACTTTAAACAGTGTGTATAGATGTTACTTTCCGTGAATGTAAACATTGAGATTTAAAAGATACAATATGGGTGGTTTCTTTTGTCTATGCCAGCTCTGGCATGACTTCTTTACTTTTTCCCACTTCTTTTTCTAATGAACTTTGTTTTAAAACTTTAAATCAGAAAGTTACAATGTGGTTCTGGAAGATCCTATATGGGAATTTGGAGTTAGAGGGAATAGCCTATTCGTTCCTTTATTTTCTCCAAACTTTAATTTAAAAAAATAAACAATCACTTAGGATTCTTCTTAGAAGTAGAACTCATGACAGAAAACTATTTAGATAGAAGCATATTACTGTTTGATAGATGGCTTTAAAGTATCTATAAAAATTTCTGTGATTTTTTAAAAAGAAATATATCTAAAATTCTTTAATTTAATAACATCACAAAATAACCTGAACAACCAAAGCTAAGGTAAACAAGAAGAAGAAAACTGGAAGTGTCACACTTCCTGATTTCAAGATATATTTCAAAGCTACAATAATCCAAATAGTATGGTGTTAACAGAAAAAGAGATATATAGACCAATAAAACAGAATAAAAAATTCAGAAATAAATTCATGAATTAACAGTAAACTGATCTTTGACAAGAGTGCCAAGAACATACAATGGAGAAAGCATATTA